GCTACAGTTTTGCATACATGAAATAAAACTTAATATATAATCACCTTCAAAGCATTTAAGAATTTTTTTTTAATGAGAAAGCCTCTGCCTTCAATGCAGGAGACCCAGGTTTGATCCCTGGGTCAGGAAGATCCCCTGGAGAAGGAATGGGCAATTGACTCCAGTACTCTTGCTTGCAAATTCCATGGGCTACAATCCATGGGGTCACAAAGGGTCGGAAACGACTGAGGGACTTCATTCACTTTAATGAGAAACTTACAAAGATCTACCAAAAAATAGTAAAACAGCATGCCTTCTAACAGGAGACTATTACTTCAAGGATGCAAACAGATAAAATATTTCAGTATTTGTCTATTCCTGTTTAATCCTGAGAACTTGCTATGCATTCATTTTTATAAAGTAAAGGTTCATTAACTTGGAGAACAAATTGAGGCATTAACGTTTCTGCTCAAAATAAATTTCAGGCAAATAACAGTGTCAAAATACAAATACTGTCACAAGATGCATCTGGGCGTTTTATCCTTAACAGACATGTTAGAATGACATAATGAATATTTCAGAAGTTTCTTTTTAGTGTAGTTTTATTACATGTTTTAACTCTCAGAATATCAATAGGAAACAATTCAAATCAGGCTAGTCACCAACAATATTTTGTCAAAATAACAACATAAATTATACTTGCAGATTGTTTTGTTCATAGGTGAGTGTATCAGGTATAATTTGCCTTGTAATTCTTAATTTTGTTTTTTTAAATGTCACTTTCTTAAATTAGCATTGGTTTTCAATATATTTAACACTGAAAATTCATTTTAATTGTGCCTAGTTACGATTAGGTGGGAGTAACCAGTCAACAATCTGGATATCTTTGCATTGGAAAATTTAGATTGAAGGAGTATTAGGTTTCAGACAGAACATTCAGGAGTTACAAAGTCCAATTTTGTCCTCTTCCTGTGCAAAACACTTTAGCAGATGTTCATTTTTATTGTGTTTCCTGTTCATCACTTTTCTGTTTGTGATAGGTTGCTTTTGTAACTGAGATCTTTCAATGTATCATTCCTACCTTTACCCATTCATCTAATTTAGAGGTATTACCCAGTTCATCTAATTTAGAATATCTGCTAACATGATGAATTACAGTGAAGAGTCAAAGAATAGAAAAAGATATGTATCAATAGCTTGGAATCCTAGATTTCTAAGAAGGCTACTTCTTCAATTTGTTATCTCTTCATTCATGAGGAAAATGTTTAATAATTGTGATAAATAACAACATTCTGACCCTCAGGAATAATCTGGCTAATGGAGATAGGATGTGTACCAGAGTTCTGTAAGACTTAAACAACATGGTCTTAGATGGCATATGCAATCTACTATAGCATCTCAACACAATTAGGGAGGCCTGGTGTGCTGCAGTCCGGGCGGTCGCAAAGAGTTGAACACGACTGAGTGACTGAACTGAACAGATAAAACCCAAGAAAAGTTGGGTGGTTGGAACAAGTAAGTCCATATGAAGCTTCTATATGCTAAAACAGAAGATTTTCATTCATCTCTTCCTAGTTATCTAATAGCAATACCAAAGTAGTAAGTTGTGTACGGTAATATGCAATAACTAGTATAGGGGTATTGTGGGGTGNTGAAGGTGAAAGAGGAGAGTGAAAAAGTTGGCTTAAAGCTCAACATTCAGAAAACTAAGATCATGGCCAGTACTTTGGCCACCTTATGGGAAGAGTTGACTCATTGGAAAAGACCCTGATGCTGGGAGGGATTGGGGGAAGGAGGAGAAGGGGACGACAGAGGATGAGATGGTTGGATGGCATCACTGACTCGACAGGCATGAGTTTGAATAAACTCTGAGAGTTGGTGATGGACAGGGATGCCTGGTGTGCTGCGATTCATGGGGTTGCAAAGAGTCGGACACGACTGAGCGACTGAACTGAACTGATATATGTAGAATATACATATATATCTCACAAGTCCATGTTGGATGGAATTGGAAATTGATGAATGTTTGATCTTCTGAGACTCTAGCAAAATGCAGACTGTAAAGTATCATAAAATTGTTAAAATTTTTTGAGCTATTAGATTGTTCAAAATTAAAAGCAAGCAATATTCTGGCTTTCCTACTGGCTCAATTGGTAAAGACCTGTGTGCAATGCAGGAGGCCCAGGTTCAGTTCCTGGGTTGTGGAGATCCCCTGGAGAAGGGAATGGCAGCCCACTTCAGTACCCTTGCCTGGACAGAGGAGCCTGGCGTGCTGTAGTCCATTGGGTCGCAAAGAGTCAGGCATGACTGAGCAGCTAAGCACACACACCATGTTTCAGAAGATTTGTTTCATAATACCATTGACAATGTAAAAATTACCTTGCTGCTTTATATTATTAAGTTTTATTCCACAATTTCCATAATTATTTTTTTCTAAATTTTTGTTATTCTATCAAACAAGATCTGAAGCATAACCATAACCTTCTCAGATAATCACTATAATGAGTCAGTTTCCTTTCTTTCAATTCTGTTTCTTTACAACCCTATTTATTTTGGTCAAAATTGTATCATATGAAACTACTTTATTATATGAAATGGAAAAGGCCAGAGAGAGTCATCTATAATTCTTCATTAGTCAGTGACTGCTTCTTTAAGCTTCTTTTAAAATGTCAAAGTTATATGGAAGTGTACCCTTGCCTGGACAGAGGAGCCTGGCGTGCTGTAGTCCATTGGGTCGCAAAGAGTCAGTCATGACTGAGCAGCTAAGCACACACACCATGTTTCAGAAGATTGGTTTCATAATACCATTGACAATGTAAAAATTACCTTGCTGATTTATATTATTGTTTTGTTCCACAATTTCAATAATTTTTTTTTCTAAATTTTTGTTATTCTATCAAACAAGATCTGAAGCATAATCATAACCTTTTCAGATAATCACTATAATGAGTCAGTTTCCTTTCTTTCAATTCTGCTTCTTTACAACCCTATTTATTTTGGTCAAAATTGTATCATATGAAACTACTTTATTATAGGAAATGGAAAAGGCCAGAGAGAGTCATCTATAATTCTTCATTAGTCAGTGACTGCTTCTTTAAGCTTCTTTTAAAATGTCAAAGTTATATGGAAGTGAGACAATACTTTTGCTTTCTTCCATGAAATTTGAATAATTTCAAATTGCTAAAAAAATAATGGCATAATTTAATACAGCTATAATTTTACACAGTTACATAATTTAATGCAGTGGTATCTACAAGGTGACCTAATCCAATTAAAAGGACTGTTTAAGAAAAAAACAACAACTTCAAAGTGAGACAATTATTTGAACTTTAAAAACTGTGTGTTCTAAAATAAACAGAAGCACACTGATAAGAATCATTAAGTATTTAAAAAGTTATGAGAACAAATAAATCTGTTTAATATATTATGGTTTCATTTATTCTGCTACTATTAATACTTTATCTCATAAAAGTGAATGCAATGATTCTAAAATATACAAACCATGGGCAGACCTGGGCTCAGTCATTTATTCATAATAGATCTTGAATTATGTTACAATAGAGTTTGTTTTTAACTGTAAAGGCTGAATATTAAAAGGGTTAATAAAATGCTCACAATGTTTAAAGTAGCAAGATACTGAAAAACATATATACTACATATATGAATATGTATTTTCATGAATGCTTTAAAATATTTGTCTGTTATTATTTTTCTTTATTTTTCCTCCTTATATCCTAAAATATAGTATCTAATATGAGAACATTCAAGTTCCAAGAAAAGGAGGATAAAAAGGTTAAATAAGAGGAAGCAGCCCGATAAAGTTTCTCTTACAGTATATATGCAAGAAAAATATGAAATAGTTTCATATTAGAAAAGAAAAGTGCTTTTTTCACCAAAGGAGCATAAATATGCATTGTGCTGTGCTTAGTCACTCAGTTGTGTCTGACTTTGACTTTATGGACTGTGGCCCGCCAGGCTTCTCGTCCATGAGATTCTCCAAGCAAGAATACTGGAGTGGGTTGCCATGTCCTGCTCCAGGAGATCATCCCAACCCAGGGATCAAACCAGGTCTCCCACATTGCAGGTGCATTCTGTACCATCTGAGCCACCAGGGAAGCCCAAATCACTGGAGTGGGGAGCCTACCCCTTCTCCAGGGGATCTTCCTGACCCAGGATTTGAACCAAGGTCTCCTGCATTGCAGGAGGATTCTTTACCAACTGAATTACCAGGGAAGCCCCCAAACATGTATTATGGGGTTGAATAATATAAAACCTACCAAGGAATATTATATCTCAGTCTGAAATATTAACTGAATATCTAAATACATTAACTAAAGAAACTGACAGATTTGTCAATTAAAGTTAAGCAAAAGATACCTAAGCAAAAGGTAACTCTAATGATGTAGCTGCATCTTAAAAAACTGGTATAGAGACATGAGAAATCTAAAGAAAACAAACCAAGTATTGGGAGCACCTGTAAGAATTATACACTTTCTACATCTTATATCTTCATTTCATTATTTTACTAATTATAATTTGTCTTGTAGTGATATTATGTAGAATATCAGAGCATATTGCTAACACAGAAAACCCAAGATAATTTTGAAAAGTACTGATTTTTAAAGAGCAAAAATAAGAAATCTAAGGTATTAAGGAAAAAAATACTAACATTGGGTATTACAGCCAATTAAAATAATTTGAGTATATTTGAAACTCAGAAGGTGATAATTTAGAATAATTTGAATATATTTAAAGCTCAAAAAATGTCTGACTAGTCAAGCCCTAAATAATAATAAAGATGATGACAATGATAATAGTAATAATAATAATAATAGAGCCTCAATAAATATCTCAGAATAAATTTTCCATTTGTTGTGTATTAATTATGCAAAAGATAATTCAATAATACTTTAGGAAAAACTAGTCTGACAGAGTAAAAATTCAGCTTTGTTCTAATCAATATCAAATGACAAAAAGCAATTAGCATGGACTTTCATTACATTCATTTATAGAGAACTTACCTGGTTGGCAATCTGCCGAGCAAGGACATCCATCCTTGATCCTGATTCTGATATCATTTTAGCTGCATAGATCACATCAGTTGTATGCTTCAGTGGTCCTTTACCCCTTAAAGTAAAAGAATGCATGTTTGTTGCTGTGGTTCATGCTAAGACACAAATACACACCCAGATTTGCACCCTGAAGTGTAACCCATTGGCTTTCCATAATTCAATTTTAAACAGGCCCTGATTAGATTCCAGTATGATTTTTTTTTTTTTTTTATGAAGACCTATTGTGTTAAGACTCAGGATATTCTGCCAAGAAGATGGACTCCATTTGATCTTCAGTCTCATGAGCTTCTTACAATAAATCTCAGCCTAGAGCTACTTTTGTGGATGCAAATCCCTTAAGGCAAAGATATTTTCCTTATTCTAGGAGGAAACATGAGATTTTGAACAATTTATATGATTGACAGTACATTTTGATTAGCAGGTATGCTTTTAATCCTCCTCTTTTTAATCCTTTTTTTATGGTCTTTTGTTTAAGTGCTCTCTATCAAATTTACTCTCGTCCACAATTAGTTCAAAGTAAAATCATAGTTGCTGTTGTTGTTCAGTCAGTCATTAAATTGTGTTCAACTCTTTGTGACCCCATGGACTGCAGCATACCAGGCTTCCCTGTGCTTCAGTGTCTCCCAGAGTTTACTCAAATTCATGTTTATTGAGTCACTGATACTATCTAACCATCTCATTCTCTGGCACACTCTTCTTCTGCCTTCAATCTTTCTCAGCATCAGAGTCTTTTCCAATGAGTCAGCTCTTTGCATCAGGTGGCCAAAGTATTGGAAGTTCAGCATCAGTTCTTCCAATGAATATTCAGGGTTGATTTACAACTGACTGGTTTGATCTTTTTGCTGTCCTAGGAACTCCTAGGAGTCTGCTCCAGCATCACAATTCAAAAGCATCACTTCTTCGGTGCTTGGCCTTCAATTGGTCCAATTCTTATATCCGTATATGATTACTGGAAAACCGCAGCTTTGACTATATGGACATTTGTCAGCAAAGTAGAGTCACATTACCTTGGACTGTTTCCCCACAACAGGCTGCTTCTTGCTATTTGTGAGTCAAGCAAGATAAATATCTACTTCACATCTTAGTTACCTTGGTGATACATAATAGGAGCACCCACCACATGGAGTAATTCTAGGGACCACATGAGTTAATTTCTACAAAGTGCTCAGAAAACAGCTTTAAATGAAGTAAGCATTTTAATGAGCTTTTATTTTTGTGGTTGTTATTTTAAGATAGTTTTGTTTTCTAATGTCATGTAATAAAAGTTGGGTTTATTTAGGGATGTGCAACATAGTTAAGAAGTGCACTTCTTAAATAGTTGGAGTGGAATAAGGAGACATTTTTCTGTCTTTTCATTCCTCAAAAATAAATGAATGACTGACCTGAATGAACATTACTGTTCCATCCACGTAAAACTATTCCTCTTATTTCCAATTTCTAATAATCTACTGAATGCCAACATACTGGCGTTTCCAATTATGTGGTTTATGTTCTTTGTTCCTAGAAGAGAATAGGACCCTGAAGAAATCACTCACTAATGCAATTGTTTTGATGCTTTCCCGGGCACAAGAAGAGTGAGGAAGGTGAGAAGGAATAAGCTGGTCAGGGTGAGGAAAGGAAGATTCTGAGAGGCCAGAATACAATGGAATGGAAAAGAAGCAGAATAAAACTATTTGTCCAATACTTTATTTACATTTTGTACCTATATTGAGGGTAGACGCCCTAATGCTAAACCTACTAAGATGTGTTGTTAGAGGAAAATCTCTGGTCACTTAAGAGACCATTCTATACTAATACAAGATAGTATTTCATGCAAAAGAAAATGATCAGAGTATTGTACACCAGGAAACCTGAACATCAAATCAATAGTAACTGGTATTTCCAAAAGACCCTTTCACTGAACTTTTTTTCATAGTGCCTCTCAAATTCATTATAAGCAATTTTCCTGTAAAAATTGAACATCACAGTTAAGATGATGCAAACCTGGCCTCAGGACATGGTTATCATCATACTTTTCCTCTTCGAATCTGCCAACACAGGCTGCTTTTAATTTTTTCTAAAAAATCACTATTCATTATTATAATTTTTTGAGTTGTTCTTATCAAATTTCCTTTATACATCAGTCAGGATTAGATGTTATGTACATGTTTATGTTCAAGAAAGGCACTGCATTTCATTATGCCTATGCATCTCCAGAGAAAGTTAAACCTACATAAAGCTGTCTAAGTTCCCAAAAGGCAGTGCATCAGTTTTCAAGGTCTTAAACAATGGACAAAGGTTGTTTCTAAGAAGAGCGGCTAATGCTCACTTAGCTTAAGCAATGGACAAAGCATTCTATCTAAGGGATGTAGCTAATGTACCCTTCCCCTCAAAATAATATATTTCCTCATATAAAACCCTGGGCTGATGAAAAGGAAATTACCTCAAACTTTAAATACACACCTTGTTATGAGACCACTATCTTAAACATATGTAGAACTTAAAAGTAACAATAATATATTATGACAGACTACAATTATTCTCTTCCTCATGCTCCTAATTAAATGTATTGCCTGGCAAGCTTCCTACTGATTGCCAAACAAAATATACATTTTACAAATGATTCCACATTATGCCAAGTTCCAGAGGAAGCGGCAATTACTGAAACTATGATAAATTTTTAACATTCTCAGCCTGAAATGTGCTACATAATGAAGGCTTTTTAAATTGGAAAATACATTCAAAGGTTGTTTTCTGCCTTCATTTTCATAATGGGTTCTCAGGATCTCCTGTCAGCAAATTATGTCTTAAATCATTGAGTTTGGATCGTACTAAGAAAGATACCCAGAGGAGGAGGGGGTAGACTCTGGAGATATTTTAAGGAAACCAGAGGCCAGAAATCTTTCATAAATAGTGGCTACAATAATAATCTATCTCTTCAAAAAGGAGGGCAGATCAAGCTCTTGAGGAGACAGTTTACCAGCTAATCATTAAATTATATGTTAGAAGGTATAATGAGAAAGGCTGCAATAATCCAGTGATGTTGAGGCCATTGACAATTTTATTAATGCAAGTGAAAGGGATACCTTTTGAAACTTGATTTATTGGTGCAACACAAACCTCCCAGCCATTTTATATTTGGCCCCAACCTTGAGTCTCACTCCTCTCCTTGCCCTCTCTCAGATTTTGGCATCCATCCCCCTCCCCCTTTCTTTATCTTGATTAGTATGAGAAACAAGATGATATAGCTCATCAGTAACAGTTCAATTAACTAGAAATCTGGTTTAATAATAGAATGATATCATAGAAATTTTGAGGACTTATTTTACCTTTTTAAGGGACAGAATGTCTTTGAAATGACTTACATTTTCTGCTACTGATTAAAAATAAAACAAAAGGGTTAATTATATCTTTTGCACTTTGTAGACCCTAAATCTCTGAAGCTTCAATACTTTGGCCACCTGATGTGAAGGGCCAACTCGTTGGAAAAGATTCTGATGCTGGGAAAGGTTGAGAGCAGTAGGAGAAGGTGGTGACAGAGGATGAGATGGTTGGATGATGTCACTAACTCAATAGACTTGAGTTTGAGCAATATTTGGAAGACAGAGGAGCCTGGTATGCTGCAGTCTGTGGGGTCACAAACAGTCAGATACCACTTAGAGACTGAATAGCAATAACAAATTTTTGGTAACAGTATCATTTCCTCTATGAAGACTGAAAACCTCCCCTTTAATTCTTTTTTCCCCTATCTTTCTATAAAATAAAACTCATGACACTGTGGCTAACATAAGAGATAGAAACAAGTATATATGGTGATATACTATATATTATGACCCATAATAGTACTTAATACACTTAGTATTTTTTATGTGCTAGGTACTATCAGAGGAGAGTGAAAAAGCTGGCTTAAAACTCAACATTCAAAAAACTAAGATCATTGTATCTGGACTCATTGGAAAAGACCCTGATGCTGGAAAGATTGAAGGCAGGAAGAGAAGGGGACGACAGAGGATGAGATGGTTGGATGGCATCACCGACTCAATGCACGAGTTTGAACAAGCTCCGGCAGTTGGTGATGGACAGTGAAGCCTGGAGTGCTGCAGTCCGTGGGTTCATAAAGAGTCGGACATGACTGAGCAACTGAAATGAACTCAACAGAAGGTACTATCCCAATGGAAGCCTGTGGCCCAGCTGTGAAGAATCCACTGGAGATGCAGGAGATGGTTTGATCCCTGGGTTGAGAATAACTCCTGAAGGAGGAAATGGCGATCCAGTATTCTTGCCAGGAAAATCTAATGGACAGAGGAGTCTGGCAGGCTGCAGTCCACAGGGTCACAGAGTTGGACATGACTGAGCAACTGAACATACACACGTGTGCTATCCCATACAAAGACTAATTTTTATAATAATCCTATGAGTTTCAAATTATCCTTATCCTTATCTTACAGATGAGACATTTGAGGGATGGAGACATTAAATATATATTTTATCAAGTTACACAGCTAATAGGTATTGGAGACAGAATCTGAACTCATGCATTCTGGCCATAGAATCTTTTGTAATGACCAGTCTACACTATTTCCAATGAAATATATTAAGATGACACTGCTGCTTCTCAACTATTATAAATGCCATACTAGACAAGAGACTGAATGCTGATTTTATTTATAACAAATAGATTGCTATATTATAAATCATTTTCTTACCTGAGAATCTCAGCTTTAGACATAGTTATTTAGATTTAGTTTAGACACAGTTATTTCATTCTAACACTCAAATTTAGTGCTGCAATAAAGTAGAGTGAAATGAAAATAGACTTGGGAAATACATTTTGTCTTCATCCTAATACTTATTAGATATGAAAGCTTAGGTAAATACTTTGCTGGTCTGAGCTTATTGTCTCTTTATTAAAGTAATGATAGTGTTACTTGCCACACAGTCAGGATACATAATATTATGTATTTTACACAATATTGGGCACTCACTAGGTGCTCAGGCATTTTTATTTTTCTAATGCCTTTACAAAGGATATTTTATAAAAATGTACCCTTTGAATTTTTATTTTGAGAATTATAG